GCAGAAAGTATACGAGAAGATATAACTGACAATGAATCTGATGAAGAATTTGACGTAGATGTCTATTTACGTATGGCTCTAACAAAATGGGCTTCTTATGTCTCAAAAAGAAAAGTAAACAGTTTGTTGAGTATTTTACACACAGTGCATCCAAATCTTCCTAAGTCATATACAACCTTGCTGAATACACCTAAGACTACGCCAGTGATTGAGATTGATAATGGACATGTGTGGTACAAAGGAATAAAAAAAAGTCTTAATTCTTTTTTAACTGAAAAATATTTAAATTCTCATGGCGAATACGATTGAATATCAGCATAGACGGATTACCTCTGGATAATAGTGGAAATTTGCATTTTTTGCCCATTTTAGGATCATTGGCTGACAATAAGATTTGTGAACCTTTTATTATTAGTGTTTATTTTGGTACAGAATTAAAGCCTTCAACATTAGAACAATTTTTTGAGGAATTTATTAACGAAATAGAGGACCTTTATACAAACGGTTTTAATTTTAATGGTCATATTTATGATGTATCTATATATAACTTTATTTGTGATGCTGCAGCGAGATCTTTTGTGAAGTGTACCATTGGTCATAATGGATTATTTTCATGTGAAAAATGTGAAATTGAAGGTAAATGGTACCATCACAGAATGGTTTATTTGAACAATAGACAGAAACGTACAGATCAATCTTTTATTGACAGAAGAAATCCTGAACACCATCAAGGATTATCACCATTAGAAGAACGACTCAATATTCGAATGGTATCTCAATTCAGGCTTGAATATCTTCATCTTGTATGCGTTGGTGTGATGAAGAGATTTTTGATGCGATTCTTAGAAATAAGAAACCGAAGCAAATTGAGAGATGAAAACATAGAAGCTTTTAAAAATACTTTAGCATGGATTGGGCAGTTTATTCCTAGAGAATTTAACCGAAAGCCTTATCGATTCAAAACGGTTGCTCATCTTAAGGCTACAGAGTTTAGAAGATTTTTACTATATGATGATGTTAAAATAATGAAAGATCATACTCCTACGAAAATATATCACACTTTCTTGCTCCTCCACTGTAGCATTTACATTTTAGCCTCTCCTTTACTCGTGCAGAATATTGCAATGAGAAATGTTGCTAGAATATTTTTAAATTTATTTGTACAATGTAGTAGTAATGTTTTTAGCCGTGACTTTGTTGTGTTTAATGTTCATGGACTTACTCATTTAGTTGATGAATGCGAAGAGCATGGATCCTTAGATTCATTTAGTGCTTTTCCATATGAAAACTATTTAAAAACAATCAAGCAATCATTACGATCGGGATATCATCCTTTGCAACAATTAGCAAGAAGGGATGCTGAAACCAATGGACACTTGTCAGAGCCGAAACATGTTATTGAGGGTATAGAACTAAGCGAAAATCATGTTGATCCTAATGAAACTGTTCCAGGGCAGCACTATAAGGTGCTTACCAGCAATAAATTTACATTGAGATGTGATGTTCCTGATCATTGCTTTAAAACTGAAGATGGATTTGTACCGTAATATGCTGCATGATTATTGTTTTTTACTATCTTATAGTCGACATTGGTTATTAGTTTAGTTTATTCTTTGTGGTGATATAATTTAAACTTTCAAATTTACACTTGTGGTTAAGGTTTCTCTGAGAAATCGGTTGTGGAAACAAAAAGTAGCATTTTTACCTAGAATTTACTGTATTTATTTTATTATATTTAGTAGTGTGGCAAATTTATAGCAATATATGCATTTGTGAATAAGTGTGTATTTATATATGTTTTTGTAAAAGTATCAGCATTGTGTGTTTATTGTCTTGTATGAGAATATATGACTTCCTTTTCTTAACAATCAATTTATTAAAATAGGACGAATTTTAATTAAATCAAGCATACATTTACAAGTGTTACTGCAAATATTTTTAAAATACTTGATGCCGAATAAAAGTTGTCTATATTACTTATTATAATATTATAGCACTTTGACATTAGTCCATTACTTTTTAATATTGTATATATAATTTTAGGTCATTTTTTAAGTTTTATAAATCTTGGTTTTTTCAGTATGCTGTGGTGGCTTTCGCGAGAGACAAACAAGAGGAAGAAGAAACAGTTGCAGTGGTTCCTGTTAAATGGATTAACAAACTTGACGATAAAATTACTGATATGTTCTGGCCTCCAGAAAACTGGCCCGAAAAAGGATCAAGACTTGTACACTTAAAAAGAGCTGTAAAAAATTGTATTGAGCCTAATATTCATTAGCCTCTTCATAAAGGATCCGTTCTTCACTTATACCGTCAGTTTATTAAATCTAATATGTCAATTTCTTTATATATGCATATATTATCAATTTTTGATTAAATAAATTTTTGTGCAATAAAAATAAAAATTATTATTTTTAAACTGATAATTGTAGGTGAATACGATGATGCAGTCAGAGGTTTGAAGAAAGCTGAAGATAACACATCCCTTGAAACAGAAGCAGATAACGCCCCACGAAGGAGGAAGCCACCAAAGCGATACATTGATGATTCTGATGAAGATAGTGAAGACAAGGAAAACACTTTACCAACTCGAAAAGAAAAAGTTTATCGCAAAAGTAAAATTAGAAAACTTAGTGAAAGTAGTAGTGATAACGGCAGCGAAACTTTGCCTGAAATCAACTCTGATGTCTTGAAGGCAGTTAAAGATAGTATCCATCTGAATCAAGTGCAAGATAAAGAGATGGAGAAAGTGACCAGAAAAAAAATCTGTTCATAAAAATATCGAATTTAGAGTCCAGAAGTTTCAAGACAATTCCAGCCAAGATAGTGAGCGAAAGCAAAGACAACTGCAAAAGATTCGCGATAATCAATCTCAAAGTAATATTAAGAAGCACGAAAAACAGCAGGAAATGGATCATACCAAACAGAAAACAAAGTGATAAATCTAAGGCCAACTTATCGAGCTGAATATTCGAGATGTTCAGTCAACTACCATTTATTACATGTATAAATTATAAAACTACAGTCATTAGATATTAAAACTAACGCAAATTAAAATTATTCTATATATTGGAATAATATATAACCTTGTAGACAGATGTCTATTGCTATCACATCCACTATTTTTAATAAAATTTAGAGTTAATTATTAATATACTCATAAGCAATGGTTACCCTCTTGATCTGATTTTTAACAAAATTAATCATCGGATAGAACACATCATATCTAAGGGGAGCATTATAGAGAGACAGGCCAACATAGAAAGAACAAAAAGTATAGGAAATGACTCGGTTGATAAAAAATTCTTTGTCATTCCGTATATTGATAGGATCTCAGAAATGATTGTTTCTTCGGTAAAAAATAAAAATTGTATTGTAGGGTATAGATGTCTCAACAAACTGGATAATATTATTAAAGCACAGAAAGATAAAACTAAACATCCATGCAATTCGAATGTGGTTTATAAGATCAGTTGCAATAATTGTAATGCATCTTATGTAGGCCAAACAAAGAGGCAATTGCAGACGCGAATAAAAGAACATAAAAATAATATTAGGTTGGACTCAACGAAACATTCAGTAATTTCTGAACACATAAGAAATGAACATCATACTTTTAATTGGGACAATGTTAAGATCATGGACAAAGAAAATAATTATTATAAAAGACTCATTTCTGAGATGCTACATATCAAGGAACAAAAAAATGGACTAAATTTAAACAAAGATACTGAGTTATTTAGCGAGTCGTATTTTGATATTTTGGATATATTAGCGAACAATAAATAATAATAGGACAAATAGGACATTAAGAAGTCAAACATAGATATTAGATCATATATAAACACGCACGCTTTCCGATCAAGTAGAGTTTAAAATGAGCTGTCTTTCTGTATTATTGGTTTGTTATGTGTCATCCTTAATAACTGTTAATAAGTAGCAAAATTGTCAAGAAGGACGATGATAGGTAAGCATATTACCAAGTGTAGGGGATATATATTATAATTTAGACATACGTTAATCGTTAATTTTTTATTAATCGCAGCGCCTACGGAACGGGTTAATTTCTCGCATATTAACGATGAAACTATCCGAGATCTGAGAAAAATCAGAAATCATATCGAGGCGAACATTGTTGGACATGACGAATTAGAACACGCGTTAATTGCTCAAAGACTCTCGATTCTGAATAATTATAATTAAATTCCGATATTATGTGAAGTTGTATAAATTTATATTTCAAGAATTATACTGAAGAAGACCGCGTGCGGTCGAAACGTTAAAAAGTATAGAATGATTTTAATTTGCGTTAGTTTTAATATCTAATGACTGTAGTTTTATAATTTATACATGTAATAAATGGTAGTTGACTGAACATCTCGAATATTCAGCTCGATAAGTTGGCCTTAGATTTATCACTTTGTTTTCAATATACGAGCGACAATTTGTATTAATTTATACCAAACAGAAGTTTCTGTCAGTATCAAGCAAGGACCATACATCTTTGAATAGTAAAACTTCTACAATTCTCTCTCCACCTGATTTTACAAGTGATGATGCTCAAGACTCTCTTTCATTACACTCAATGCGGATAAACAATCCTGATAAAGGATCTTCATGTTCGTTGGTACAGACTTCTGCTGATTCAAGTTCTGGTACAAATGAAGAACATTTTTCTTTGCCGAATACAAAGGCTAATCAAAGTTACCCCTACAATTTTAAGAATAAAGGTATTTATCTGCGTTTACGGTTTAGATAGTTATGGTTTTGACATTTTTTGCAGATGTTTAATAGACTTTATTTTTTTAGGTGATGACTGCAAACATTGCCACAGTGAATATAAGCTAAGCAGCACAGTATTTCTGGAAATTAGCAAAAAAGTAGATTCAGTACTGATTAACCAGGCAATCATTGTTTGGTCTGACAACCCAGATCATGCTAAATCCATATCTTCTAAAATTCCATCTATTCCATTAAAAACAAAAAAGGACTTTCAGAAAATGGAGACGGTTTTAGCAGCTAATCGCATCGATTATGAATCTGTGGTATGTCTTATATCATGTTATTATAATATATGTATAATGCATGTTAAAAATTTACTAGGCAATTATGATAATCACATTTCATGCCTTAACAGCGAGATCTGCTTTATTCTAAATGTGGCAGTTTTGGTACATCTTCTACTCCCTCAGAACGCAGTGTCACAGGGAACATTTTGTCCAAATTGATCTCAAATGATCTTGCCAAATTAATAAGTTGGAGTGGATCAGAAGGCGATAAGATAAAATTTTCTGAAACACAACTATGTGAAGTTGTATTTGGCAAGTATCTCGATTTTTAAATTTATTACGTAAATCTCATAATTTTCATTCTAATTATATTAAGTTATTTTTTTAATACTTATAATATATGAAATATATATCAGTGTTTCTTTTGTTAATAATATTAATTTATTGCAATTGTTTTTGTGTATAGGTGCAGTTAAATTACGTTTTCCTGATAGCTTTTTTATTGAAGCTAAAGCAAAGATCAAGCGTTGGTTTCAAACTGCAAATGGAAGGAAAGTTAATGAGTCGCAAAATTCTGATGCCTAATAGAACCATCTCTGGCTGTACAATTGTATTATGTATACCGTTCGACATCGTTGTGCCATTGTAAGGTGTACTTTTCAACTTTTGCTTTTTGTACCGCAATAGCCATGCTTTTTTTGTTAGCTATCGTCATTACTGTAACCCGAATCTGAACTATACGAACAGTTTATAAGGTCTACGACCCCTCTGATGCCTGAAGTATATTATAAGTAAAGTACATATATAGTACCTAAGTACATTATTTTTTAGTTTTTCTTATTATTTTTGAGTTATTATTTACGTTCGTTTATATATTTTCTATTCTTGGCAAAGTTGAATAATGAAAACATTATTATTTATTATATGTGCAATGTTTAGTTTTTATTACGAGATTGATGAATTTTTGTTATGTTATTGATGTTGCCAATATGGAAATTTAACAGATAAAATGTCTTTCAATATTTGTTTAACATATAACGTTTCTTTTATGCGAAGTTTACATGATTTTTGATGATACTACGATTTTTCAGTCAGTTTATGAGTTACTTTTAATTACTTTTTTGTTATACGACTGATTGTGCTATAGTTAATTTGCGTACATTTCATATGTGACAAGGTTTTGTAATGTTTCTTTTATGACTAGTATAATAGATAATAAGAGTATCTAAAAAATCTAATATAGATATCTATATAGATATATATAATATATATAATGCTCATATAAATAAAAAATATTGATAAACATTTGTAACTATTGAATTTTTTATTTAAAAGTTATTTAATTATAATTGCATTTTATGACCGAGCAAATAAATTTAAAATACATATATTCGATTAAAAACTGCTGCTTTCAACATATTCAATGTAATTCAGTTTTAATTTTGTATTTATTTTTGTAGAGAGTAATGGATAATGTAATTGTTTATACTTTGGATGTTTTTCAGCCACAATGCGCTATATGTTACACTATGTTACTCTGTGACGTCTTTTGTTATCCAATAGAAAAGTTTGTTTTATATATAAAACAAGCTCTTCTATTGAATGACAGAAGACATCACAGAATGTAACATAGTAGTGTAACATATCATGCATCGTAGCTAAAAACATTCAAAGTATAAACAAATATATTATCCATTACAACTGCATTATTATCTTTAACCGAAAACCCCTTTGACATCAAACAGACATCAAAATGACAGTCAAAATCATCATCAAAGTATGGGACGTTTTGCAGTCAAATTGCCATCATTATGATCTGTCTTTTTGACATCATACCGTTCATCAAATTGATAACATTTTGACATTACTTTGACTAGGTAGTTTTCACTGGGTGTTAACATACAATGATTATTTTTTGCAAGTTTATGAATACCTTAATGTGTTCAGTTGTAACGTTTGAATATTCACGTTGTCGATTAATATACTCCCAGAACTGATCTCTGTCAGTCTAAACAACGAAGATAGTAACGAACTTTTTCCAGCACCGGTGCGACCAACGACGCCTATTTGTTCCGCTGGTCGAATAACGAATGTTATCTCTTTCAACGATGGCACTAAATGGTTCCTGCGAATATAATTACAAAAATTTCTTTTACCAAATGTTACAATCGTGCATTATCTTTATCAAAAAATTTGAAAATATTACCTGTACATAAAAACAACTTCTTTAAATTCCACAACACTTTGACTAGGCCACGCGTAAGGTTGATTAGTGCCCATTGTATTTTCAGTCGGCACATGATCTAAATACTGTTTAACTCGTTCCACCGCAATCTCTCTCTCTGTCTCAGTAACACCAGCGCGATGACGCGACACGCGATCTGCGACGAATCGCGAGAATAGGATTTTCTATCTATTCATATAAACGCGATGCGCGATTACGAAACCTAACCTAATTTATTGCATATTTACCATTTATTGCAATTCTATAATTTAATGACAATATCACTCTCGGATCGATGTCGTTGCACGTTTATTTATAACCAAAGAGATCCTCTTTGTTTATAACGACATCGCATCTATAGATAAAATCGCAGTAAATCGCTCGTCGCGCGCTACAAATCTTCAAACTTGGTCAACTTTTTTGCGATGTCGAACTCTATAGTGCGACGGATATGACGTGCGGAAAAGCTACACGCTCATTGGATATCGCGCATCGCGTGTCGCGTCATCGCGCTGGTGTGCAAGAGCCATAAAGGTGCCTTTACATGGTAGCATCAAGCGTCAAGCATCTACGTTTGCGCAGATGTCACATAAGATAGAAAATAGCTTCTTGTGGCTAATAATATTAATAAATATAATAAATATAATGATTATAATTAATATTATATTAATTTTAGTACTAATATGTGCTAATATTCATTTGATCTCGACTTATTCGTATGATTCATCTTATTATTAGCAGCAAGAAACTGAAATCTATTTTATTTAACATTTGCGCAATGAGTTTTTGCGCCGACACGTTTGATGCTATCATATAAAGGCATCTTTATATCCAAATAATCCAATAGGATCGCATTGGAGCGAGAAGTATGTTGGGGGGGAGCCTGCTATGCGAACAAACTTATAATTTGGCGGGACCGGCACCTTCCATATTTATTAGCAATATTGCATAAGATATTGCGTAATATATATAAGATTTCGGTTTACATTTAATGAAAATCGTTTCGTTTCGTTTGTACGCGATTGCATCACATTAAGTGAAAAATGTCACGATATATATTATTTTTTTGTAATTATCATAAATATCATGTAAATATAAAACACAAGAGAAGACGCGTAAAATGTCTAGTTAGGAATCGTAAAAAAACATGTATTATACGTACAATTGCACAGAATAGTAAGTATCACCATTCTATATTTATTTAAAATAACATAAAATGTTTTCATTGCAATAATATTGTTAATATTGAGCACAACAGCACGTAACCTTTTTATTCGATTTTTAACAGATTAATATTAACTTAAGTCGTAAAAATCTAAAGTTTTTACTCAGCACTGCTTTTTAATTTTCTTTTAGTTAAATTCTTGCATCAACGCGTTAATTTCTGATTATTTATATATAAATAATTGAAATTACTATATTTATTGTTACAGAAAATAAAAATGATCTTCTTGCAATTGCTAAAAGTTTAAATACAAATAATCCACGTATTGCTCTGGAAAACATAAAATTAATTGTCAATAATAACAATAGTAAGTATTACAGTATTATAATTCTAAAACTACATGCAATATATTGCATTTCTATTTTTTACAGTAATTATACTTTTTTTGTAGAAACTACAGAAATACCACAAGATGCCTGCATTATCAATATGAATTATACTAAAAGAATACTAATACTAACAATTTAAGTAATGCTATTGATTTTGACAATAATGTAGTATCTTTTCTTGATAATGGACAAGGCCACAATGCAAATGATCAAAGTAACGTCAATTATCTTATAAAACACGTTGATTCTAATAACGGATTTAAAACTATAATTATTGGTAATATTGATAATTTTACAAATAATAATGCCGATAATAATGGAAATGATAGCATTGTAGATAATATCATTAATGACAATAATTCTGCGAATAGTACTGATTTTGATAAGCACGTTACATTTTCTAATGAACATGATCACACTGCAATAAATGATGAAAATTGTGTAACTAATATTTCTAAGAAAAATGTTGGTTGTGATAATGCTATGATAATTTCTAGTGAGTCTAATAATGAGCAGAATAGAGTAAAGGCTACTAAACTTAACATTACATTTGCTGTAATGATAGAAATCATAATGTAGTAGATAGTACTATTAATGCTAACAATTCTGCAAATGATATTGATTTTAATAATGTGATATCTTCTTGTGATAATAGTAATGGTTGTAAAACGGTAGATAGTAATATCAGTATCAATAATTCTACGAATGATAATGATTCTAATATTGATATATCACTTTTGTGCAATAATAATAACATTAATGCTAATAATTCTAAGAATAACTGTGAGTTTGATAATAATGTGATATTTTCTTGTGATGATGACAATAACTGTCATGTAAATACTGATATTGATATTAATTTTATGAACAGTAATAATTATCATAATAATAATCTGACATTTTTCAATGATAATGACAATTTCAATGTGTCTGAAACGGGTATTGTTCTCAAAGATGTCATGATATTTTCTTTTAACGATGATTATAATTCTAGTATCTTAAATGATTTCACTAACGCCAAAGCTTCTATAAATTATAATAATAGTGATAATAATATGATTTCCTGTGATGATGAAAATATTAATGACAACATTGCTTGTGCAAACACATTAAGTAATGATAGTGATAATAATATGATTTCCCGTGATGATATTAATGACAATATTGCTTCTGCAAACTCATCAAGTATTTTGGAATATGTACCTTCAGCATTGGAAATTACAATTGACAAAGAAATTACGGAACATAAAAGCTTCCGCAATAACGTTTCTGCAACTAATGATAAAAATTCTTCAGAATCACTGATAGATCTTTCTTCTATCAATACATTTGGTTGTAGAGAAGACAATTTATGTTTTCTCAACCTAAAAGACATAAAAAAAAAAATTTTGCTACTATTGCAAAAAGTTTCAGAGTAAAATTGCACGTCATTTAGAAAACGTGCATAAATTGGAACCTGAAGTAAAGAAATTTGTATTATTACCAAAAGGTGATCATATTTTTCAATTCTGTATAATTATTTAAGTTTATAGTATATTTTTTTATAAATATTAATAAATAAAATATTTTTTTAATATAATATTAATATGTTATAATTTTTATTAATATATTTACATTATATATACATTATTTACGTTACATATACATTATTTACATTATATATTGTTCGAAATGCATACTAGAATTATGTGATATCATACGCGTAAGGAAATATCATATTCATATAGAATATTTTAGAATATTCTATACCAAGCGGGAATAACAACACTCATATCGTTTTTTGCATGTTTGTTTTAAGAAACCATACCGCGACATAAATCATTCTGTCATGTAAAAAAACCTACCAAAATACTAACAACTAACGGTATCGCAAACCGTTCCGCATAATAGTCATATTTCTACGAGCATGCGCGGCGCCTCACGGGCGCCTCGTTTTACCAATGATCATCGCGATCGCCCGCTCGCGCATGCTCGTTCACAGCCGACATCCTGTCAATTTTGACAGCGGCCAATTACGCGTACTGCGCTCGGGTCACCTCGCGCAATTTTCAAAACGCGCAAAATCATTGGCGCATCACGCGAAGGTGGGCTCTCTTCTAAAAATTATAAAAGAGGAGCCCACACCCGGCTTGTCAGCCTTATCGTCTTCCGCCGTGAACCGCATATCGCAAACCGCAGACTTGTAAAACCGCTAAAAAACTCATTGTCAACTGCCGCTTTTTCCGCACTTTGATTATGATTCCGATTTTCTCTGTAAATTAAGTAAGATTGTAAACGTTTGTTGAAGTGTTCGTTCTTAATTGTTTATAATATTAAAGTCGGTTTTAATACAAAAGGTGACTCATCCTTTGGGTGCCGCGCGATCCTTTCTCTCGCAGCGCGTTCGTGAACATATTTCTGGTCCTTCGAGCCGGATCCGTCGCATCGGCAACCGCAAGTTCGCGAGCGTGACTCCTCGTGTGAGTGAAGGTGTGAACATCTGTGTGCGCAGCCGTCATGGATGTGCCCGCTGGTCGATTGTCAGCGTGAGATTCAAATCCGAATCTCACGCTCCGTAGAGTACTTGAAGAAGCTGGGCAGCGCCAATATCACCATAAGTGCTATCGCCACACGCACCAGAATCCTGGATCAGCTGTGGACAAAGTTCGAGACGCAGCATGACCTTATCCGAGCGGCCTTGAAAGACAAATTCAGTGAGAGCGATTATTTCAAATCAGATTTCTATGCAGATACAGAAAATCTGTACGTAAGTCAGAGAAGCATACTTGATGGCTACGCCGAACACTTTCGTGCACCGAACGTAGCTCCTTCTGCCGACGTCACGCCACGGTCGTCACTGCCGCGCATCAAGGTACCGCCATTCTCGGGTGCTTACGCTGATTGGCCGTCGTTTCGGGATCTCTTTCTCTCCGTCGTGAGTGGCAACGCGATCTCCAACATCGGGCGCTTCCATCCTCCGCTCATGTCTGACGGGACCGGCTGAAAATTAATAAAGTCGTTACCTGTCACTAGCGACAATTATGAGCGTGCCTGGGCGATACTGGACAAGCACTACAACAATAAAAGGGAACTGATCCGCTCCAACTTTTCCACGTTCATCGCCGTGCCAAAGATGAAGGGAGATACCGCAGAGGAGTTGAGACGCATCCACAACGCCGTTACTGCTGCCGTCAACGGTCAGGAGGTCATCGGGCGTCCAATAAACTCCCACGGGATGGACCTCTTCAACTTCCTGGTGACTGAGCTGTTTGATGCACGCACACGTCTGGAGTGGGAGTCGTCCATTTCAGACTCATCAGAGCCAGCATAGAACGAGGCACTCGGTGACTTTATTAGTCGGCGGATCCTGACTCTCCATGCCGCACGACCGAAGGGCGTCAGCAAACCGTCCGGAGATGCTCCACGGATCGCCAAGGCACACGTCACGAAACACCACGGACCTGAACCGCCGCACTGTGCCCTGTGTCGCGAGAAGCACACCTTGATGACCTGCCGAGACTTCAAGGCCAAGACAGTCAATGAGCGTAAAGCATTCATAGAAACAAGCAAGCTCTGCTACAATTGCTTAGGCAACCACTTTTTATCTCGCTGCCAGTCAAAGAAGAACTGTCTCACATGCGACGCACGACACCACACGATGTTGCACGGAGCACCGACGTCTTCACTGTCAGCTGAGGTCACCACACGCGCCACCACACTGACCACGACTCTGCAACATCAAGATCATAAGGCCGTTCTTCTGGCAACAGCTCGAGTGAACATCGCCGATCGGTACGGTTCACCACACGCCGTACGCGCTCTGTTTGACCAATGCTCTGAGGTGTCGATCATTTCAGAGACCTTGGCACAACGCCTTCCTCGAGTCTCGACGGATCTCTCGATCTTCGGCATCGGAGGGACCCGCTCAGGATCCGCTCGAGGCAAAGTAACGCTGCACGTAACATCAGACGTGACCAACGCCGAGCTCAGCGTGGTAGCCTTTGTGCTGCCTCGCATATCACTGCAGCAAGGATCAGTCTCACAAGGAGAACGCAGCTGGCCTCATCTCAAAGGACTCCAGCTGGCCGATCCTCGCTTTTGGACGACGACCCAGCTGAGTTACTTCTAGGAGCCGAGGTCTATTCCTTGATTCTCGAGGAAGGCCTCCGCAAGGGAGATTCAAGATGCCGATCGCCCAGCAAACAAACCTGGGGTAGATCCTCTCTGGCGGATACGACGCAGCAACAGTCAACGGACATCGCCGCACATTCCGATGCACCGCCGATCATGACCTCGCCGATCTCGTTCGCCGCTTTGGGAGCAGGAGAGCGAGCCAATATCTCGGGCTCCACTCACTCCTGACGAAACCAGTGCGAGGAGCTCTATGCGCGCACCGTCACACGCACGCCCACCGGAAGATACATGGTGAGACTGCCTCTCGCATCATCACCGACGACTCTTCAAGACACTCGCCGCCCAGCGGAGCATCTCCTGAAAGCCATGGAGTCCAAGGGTAGCCAGAGACCCTCGATTTGACGACCTCTATCGCGGCTTCATGCAGGAATACGAGGACCTGCAACACATGAAGAGGGTAAACATCGCAACAACGGCGGAGAAGATCAGATGCTACTTACCGCATCACGGGGTCCTGAAGGAGTCGAGCACGACGACGAAGCTTCGAGTCGTGTTCAACGGCTCTCAACGGACACGAACCGGTACCTCGCTGAATTCACATCTGCTGACTGGGGCGAATTTACTGCCAGCTCTCACCAACGTACTGCTGCGGTGGCGTTGGCACCGGTATGTCTTTGTCACAGACATTGAGAAGATGTACCGCCAAATTCTCGTACATCCTGAGGACTGCAGTCTTCAAACAATACTGTGGCGTCATAACAAAACGAACGAGATCCAGGAGTACGAGCTGCTGACGGTGACCTACGGCATGGCTTGTGTACCGTTCCTGTCCATCCGAACGTTGCGGCAGCTCTGTGCGGACGAGGGGGCGCAGTTTCCTCAAGGGGCCACAGCACTTCGGCGAGATTGCTACGTCGACGACGTAGTCACCGGAGCGGACAACCTCGACGATGCCATCAACCTCCAGACAGAGCTGCGCAACCTCTGCATGGCGGGCGGGTTTCCGCTGAGGAAGTGGGCTTCAAACAATCCGGACGTCCTCACCGGAGTCCCACAGGAGCATCGGCTGCAGCAAGGACCACATTCCTGGGACGACGAGAGCCATTCGACCTTGGGCCTGCGATGGCATCCTCAAGAAGACCGGTTTGCCTTCACCATACATCCTCGTGTAGTCAGCGAGTTCACGAAGCGACGAGTCCTCGCAGAGACTGCACGGCTGTTTGACCCGATGGGCTGGCTCGCACCTGTCGTGATTCGGGCGAAGATCCTGATCCAGACCACCTGGCTTCAGCAACTCGACTGGGACACTCCACTGCCGGCCAAACGGAACGTCAAACGTTGGCACCNCTACGAGCATGCGCGGCGCCTCACGGGCGCCTGCCTCGTTTTACCAATGATCATCGCGATCGCCCGCTCGCGCATGCTCGTTCACAGTCGACATCCTGTCAATTTTGACAGCGCCAATTACGCGTACTGCGCTCGGTCACCCCTCGCGCAATTTTCAAAACGCGCAAAATCACATTGCGCATCACGCGAAGGTGGGCTCTCTTCTAAAAATTATAAAAGAGGAGCCCACACCCGGCTTGTCAGCCTTATCGTCTTCCGCCGTGAACCGCATATCGCCAAACCGCATACTTGTAAAACCGCTAAAAAACTCATTGTCAACTGGCCGCTTTTTTTTCCGCACTTTGATTATGATTCCGATTTTCTCTGTAAATTAAGTAGATTGTAACGTTTGTTGAAGTGTTCGTTCTTAATTGTTTATAATATTAAAGTCGGTTTTAATACAAAAGGTGATTCATCCTTTGGGTGCCGCGCGATCCTTTCTCTCGCAGCGCGTTCGTAAACATATATACATTATTTAATATTCTTATTGCAGGTAATTTAGAAAGAAAACAAATTATAGAGTCTATTAGAAAGAAAGGGAATTTCATACACAATACGGATCCTTCCTTAAATACGGGAGAATTAATTGTTTGTGGAAGGCCTGCCAAAAATAGTTGCAAAACAGTACAAGATTTTATAAGTTGCGCAAAGTGTAAAGGATGGTTCACTAAAAATAATATCAGGCATCATTTTAAAGAATGTGTAGGAGAATCCAAAGGCAGAAATGTACAAGTTTTAGGACGTGCTGTGATGGGCAGAATTCATGAATGTGCAAGTGAGACAGTAAGAAAATTTGTATTCCCAGTTTTAAGGGAAGATGATGTTACACAAAGTATTAAATATGATAAATTATTAATAACATTTGCGAACAAATTATGTATCAAGTACAATCATCAACACCAACAAGATGCTAAACTTTGATTATTAGGAAGGTTTCTTATCGCAGTGAAAGAATATAACTCTAACATAACAGAGTTTTCTGATATATATAATCCTTCATATATGATGATTGTCTGAAAGCAGTAAATAAAGTAGCTCATTTTGATGATATTAATAAAAAATATGGTGCACCATCAGTTGCGTCAAATATTGGGACATATTTAAACAAATTGGTAATTTGTTAATAACTGAATGCATAAAAGCTAATGATATAGAAAAGCAAAATGCTACAGAAAACTTTTTAAAATTATTACAAGAAGATTATGGTATATCTATAAACAAAACAGTAAAGAAATATGACACAAAATAAAAGACAGAAGTAAGTTATGCTTCCATCTATGGAAGATATAAAAAAATTACACTCATATCTAAATAACGAAAGAAAATTATTATATACAAAACTTCAGGAGAAATTTAAATACAAAAATGGCTAGAACTTGCAAAAGTTACACTTACATCAATGCAAGTTTTTAATAGAGAAAAGCAGGAGAAATAGAACGGGTTACTATTGACGATTTTTTTACTCGCGAAGGTATAACAAAAGAAACTCATTTAGATTTATACAAATCATTAAGCACAAAATTACAGCAGGTAAAAATAATTATTACTATTATTTATTTATTAGGAAACGCGGTAATGTCTCCGGCCATGTTCAAACCCTAAAAGACCTTAAAAAACACTACAAGTCTCCTTATCCTGCACCATCAAAGTCCATTTTTTAGGGGTGTAGAACTACTAAAATATAAAAAATTTTGAATTGCACGTAATATAACCTGAAAAACGGCATCGCCACGAGTAATTTGAGCCAAGAAGGAATAAATCGGTCAAGCCGTTCTGGAGATACAAGCGGTCAAAAAGTGACGTTTTTAATGAAAAATGAAGTAACGTCGTCTTCTTCTTCTTCTCTGTCCGCGTCCGCTGACGTCATCAGGATTATATATATATATATATCCTAAAAAATCATAAAAATGAAAAGGTCAGGCCATGTTCAAAAGAAGTACTCAAAAATTTAAACCTTTAAAAATTTAAACGATCTAATAATAAATTATCACAAAAAGTAACTGATATGTTATTCAAGGTGCCAGTTCAAAGTGAACTTACGTAAAGTGTGTATTATCTAAATTTAGTAATAATATATTACCATGAAAAGTAACTGATATGTTATTCAAGGTGCCAGTTCAAAGTGTGAACATACGTAAAGTGTATATTATCTAAATTTAGTAATAATATATTACCATAAAAAGTAACTGTGATATTTTATTCAAGGTGCAAGTTCACATTGAACATACATACATATAAGTAAAACTGATTACAATTTGATTCTAGAAAATAAGTGCGATATGTTATTCTTAGTGCACAAAATATAATAGTCGTTTATAGAGATTTGATTTGAAATTCATACTAGCCCGTACAATGAAAAATAATTGCTCGTAATTCCAGAGTACCAATTTGTTAATGACTCAGAAAAATAACATGGCGGCCTGCTCTCAAAAAACTTTCGATGGATAGAATAAATAATTAAAATAAGAGTTGTGAAAATTGTATAAATTAAAAATCTCCAATCTTTTTTTAGTAAAATTTCCCGTTAATGACCATCATTAACCTAGGCAAGGTGGCATATGTGATTGGGATTTAACATTATCAGTAATTTATTGAACAGACAGAGAAAAATTTTGTTGTATGCATCGGTTCAGTGTTTGAAATAACCATGTACTATCCATATACTGTAAAGCACAAATTCTTCATTTCTATCATAAATAATATCTATTTATTAAAATTTTAGCAGACGTTTTTTAAATAGAAAATAGTGTCTTGCGATCATGAAGAATAGGTTTTGAATAGCAATGTTTCATTTGACTTACAATTTTCTTCAGAAACACAGAAGAAAAAGGTATTTGTATATAGTTTTGTATATTCACTTCGTTGTGTGTAGAGCTTTTAAAAATACGTTGAATCCTTATTCTAATCTAATCTTCTTCTAATGTAATACTTTTCGTACTTCAAATGTTGTAGTAATTATTCTGTAAGAGCTTCAACATTATTTCTAAATGGACATCGAAAAACATCATAGTTTTTTGAGAGCAGGCCGCCATGTTATTTTTCTGAGTCATTAACAAATTGGTACTCTGGAATTACGAGCAATTATTTTTCATTGTACGGGCTAGTATGAATTTTAAATCAAATCTCTATAAACGACTATTATATTTTGTGCACTAAGAATAACATATCGCACTTATTTTCTAGAATCAAATTGTAATCAGTTTTACTTATATGTATGTATGTTCAATGTGAACTTGCACCTTGAATAAAATATCACAGTTACTTTTCATGGTAATATATTATTACTAAATTTAGATAATATACACTTTACGTATGTTCACACTTTGAACTGGCACCTTGAATAACATATCAGTTACTTTTCATGGTAATATATTATTACTAAATTTAGATAATATACACTTTACGTATGTTCACTTTGAACTGGCACCTTGAATAACATATCAGTTACTTTTTGTGATAATTTATTATTAGATCGTTTAAATTTTTAAAGGTTTAAATTTTTGAGTACCTTCTTTTGAACATGGCCTGACCTTTTCATTTTTATGATTTTTTTAGGATATCAGTTACTTTTTAAAGTACAAATATATAGAGCAGCTTTCTAGTAATTCAAGTATCACAAATATATGTATTTTCGATTCTTATCACATAACTTTGTATAAGTAACAATTTATGCAATACAGTTCAAAATAATTGAAATATATATAGTATATATGTACATATATAAAATATATTGTATAATTATATTATATATTTGTATGTTGAGTCGTGGTCACTATACGTGTATGTTGAGAGCTGACACAAAATCGGAATGGTATTACTCTAATGATATGGAAGTGTTCAAGAAAAATGGCCCAAAGGAGCACAAGGGGCATACATATTGTTCTTAGAACAGATTAAATAATGGCGCTGTATAAAGGCTGCCGTAAACGCTACATTAAAACATCAACTGTTCTAGTACTGTATAAAGTTGCCGTAAGCGCCAAAATAAATTATAAATTATATTATAGTATACATATATATTTTATTTAATCATATATGTAAATGTTTGTATAATTGTAATAACTTTTAACGATACATTGCACATTTATTTCAATTGCAACAGAATGAATTTATATTCTTGTATGAATATTGAAAATAAAGAATGGGCCCCTCCATTGCCCATTTTCATGAGAACGCAACCATATATTTTTCTTCGTCTCTCCAATTTTAACACGACATATTTTCGATTCTTATCACATAACTTTGTATAAGTAACAATTTATGCAATACAGTTCAAAATAATTGAAATATATGGTATATATGTACATATATAAAATATATAATTATATTATAGTATACATATATATTTTATTTAATCATATATGTAAATGTTTGTATAATTGTAATAACTTTTAACGATACATTGCACATTTATTTCAATTGTAACAGAATGAATTTATATTCTTGTATGAATATTGAAAATAAAGAATGGGCCCCTCCATCGCCCATTCTCGTGAGAACGCAACCATATATTTTTTTCGTCTCTCCGATTTTAACACGACATACATATTTCTGTCTGATAATTTTTTTCTTGATGATACTTTTTGAAATGTCATGAAGCCTAGGTCAAATAAGAAACTTATTGCACTCGTTTTAATGCAGCGCTTACAGCAGCTTTTATAAAGCGCCAGAGCAGCCGATATTTTATTTTGGCGCTTACGGCAACTTTTATACAGCGCTAGAACAGTTGATGTTTTAATGTAGCGTTTACGGCAGCCTTTATACAGCGCCATTATTTAATCTGTTCTAAGAACAATATGTATGCCCCTTGTGCTCCTTTGGGCCATTTTTTCTTGAACACTTCCATATCATTAGAGTAATACCATTCCGATTTTGTGTCAGCTCTCAACATACACGTGTAGTGACCACGATTCATTTCTTCACCTTCGTGAAATATAGCGCTTATTACCTT